GTGACGGTGCAAGTACCGAGTACTTTGGCATTATTGAGGATTCACTTCAGTTTTCCTATGATCTGAATTTTTCCATAAAGGTAGTTTTGTTCCAATGTAGGTGGGCTGATCCAAATCGAGGTGTGAGGTCACATAATCTGTACGACATTGTTGACGTGAATTTCCGTTACACAATGCATACAAAGGAACCATACATATTGGCCCAACAGGCGAAACAAGTATTCTACACAACTTATCCTAACAGCAATGCGGCCACAACAAACTGGACATCGATGATTAGGACAAGACCGCGCAAAGTTGTTGAAATGACATGGGACGATTCTACCTACTAAGCCGATCGTATACGAGCACAACCAGCACCAGTTGATGGAAATCAATCCCACATGCTTGCGGATGTAACAGGAGGAGGTCCCCTATTCGCGGAGGATGTAGATATGCCCTCTACGAGTTATGCACACGATAGGGACGGTGAAAATTGCACAAGCGACCATGGACCTAGCACGGAATTATCTCTAACAGGATCTTTCACTAGTTATAATGAATAAGTGCAACAGAAGTTTACTTTTCAGGAATATGCATTGGCTAAAGAGAGCTTGAACCTCTGTCCATGAGACTAGATATAATAATTAGAGTTTTATGAATGACTATAATATAAATGATTGTTTAGATATTTCAAATGTTGCTAAAATAGAGAATATAATTATATTATTTAACTAATTTATATACAAATAAATTAATAAAATACCCATATGTGGAATCAATCAATTGTAATATCAATTAAATTTTTCTCTAAAATAATGAAATAAAACAAATGTGAAAAGAAAAATTATATAAAAAATAATATGATAATTACATTTGAATACTACATGACTTAATTGTGATTATAATGAAATATAAAGTAAACTATCGGCTGTGGAACCGCCGGCCTGCGACCCGCCGTTCACCCATCAGCCACGAACCGACGGCCTGCAACCCGTCGTTCACCCACCAGCCTCGAGCCGCTGGCCTGCGACCCGCCGCTCACCCCCTCCTCCCACGACCGGTGCGACACCCTGGCTTCCGATAGTATCTTCCCTATGTTTACTCTCTCCCGAAATTTCAGTAAATACAAAACTTGTTGATTCCTATCGATAGATTTTACTTATATCGAACTTTTGGAATGAAATTGTTCACGGATTGTTGAATCTTCTACATTTCCTGAATGTGAATAGTTGGCAAATCGAGGTGAGTGCGCTTGTGTAACAAAATGTGAGTGTGTCCTAAATTCCTAGTTTGATTGTATTATTCATGGTTTGTCGTTTATTGAGTGTGAGCTTTTACTTTTCAACCTCGTTTGGGTTCTTTTTCTACAGGACAAAAGGTGTAATATAATGCCCCGTTTTTTTTTTTTTTCAGTTTCGTAAAAGGATGCCTTGATCCAAACATCTTGTTCAATGTTGTCATTGGGGAGCACTAAGTTATGTTTGTACATTATGTATATATTTATATGTTGTACTAAAAAAAGTGAGTAGACAAACACTTGTTAGCTCACTTCGTTGCGAACCTTGATTTTGGGGTGGAAATTTGGTTATGTTTAATAGATAATATCACAATTAGTGTCGGCAGAAGTATTTATCCTTTTATTTGATAGACCTCTCTTTTTCTGGAAAGGATTGAATAATATAGAGCAACATCATAATAAAATAAATTTAAAGAACACAAACTTAGATAATTTGTTTCTTTATTTCTCCTGCATAGTTATACAGCCTTTTATTATATGTATGCGTACATATATTTATTATAATATATGCGGTTTTTATGAACCGTTTTCTATATCACCCTCTTGACAGTGATGGAAAATCAACTGCCACTTTACCCGCACGACGAGGACATGTTCGACGAGGCAAGTCAGAACGCAGCCAGGCGTGAAGACTGTGACCAGCAACCACCGTTGCCAGATAATCGACAGACTATTTCGTCATGGACTTTTCAGTAAAAATTTTATAGTTCGTACGCATATTTTGTGTTTACCTAGGTAGGAAATCACGAGGTAAAGCTCACTGATTTCCGTGTTGTGTTTTGTTGTGAAGTGCCACCGCTGGTCTCACTAAACAAATTAGAAATATCGTCACCTCAAATTTTACACACGGGTGTATAACATGGTCTGAAGTTCCAAGTGATACACGGGATCGATGGTTTCAAGTGTTCATGGTTAGTTGTAATATTTTTATGACCTAACTTTCATAATGCATTTACATATTTCTTTAATATTGAACTGGATTTTATCTATTCTTCAAGTAGTTTATATTCATTTATTTGGTGTGTTGAATGTATAACCAAGCGTATATTGAGTTTATCTAGTGTCATATGTCATTTCGCGCGGTCAATCAAATATTTCACCTACTCCGTGATCACAATTTAATGTAATATAGGGGAAGGGATCGTCTCCACTGGGATTGTGTGATTCACTCTTTCGTGTTCTAATGCAGTAAACAAAGGGGAAAATTTCTTTTATTATCTAATGAAAATAAAATAACAAAGCAATTAAATAAAGGGGGAACTGACTAACAAGGGGATGTCTGGCTCAAGGGATGATGCAGTTATGGCACTTGTGTTTTATCATTAATTCAATAAATTTTATTCTTATTAAAGTATCAATAAATTGGTTATAGTTATCAGCAAGCTCTGACAACCAATTTTTCCTTACAGTGTAGGTAATTAAGGTACGACTGTTAACTACCCCTAATTAAGCAAATAAACCTAGGTGCGCCCATAAGAATATTGCCTAACCGCATCGTAATCTAGAAAAACCCAATTCAAAACAATTACTACCTACGATGAGCAATTAGATTTGATTGTCTAACCCCCGGGAAGGAACTATTCAACCCAGTTATCACCTATTCAAGTGCGAATACAATTACGGATATCCTACCTGAATTGACTTTAGATTATCAGACTAATTTAAATATCGGTACCAAAATATTCAATCAATCTAACAATCACAAACGCTATTCTCAGAATTAGACAAATATTGATAATCAAAAAGAACTTTTATAAAGAAAATCAAGAATCTTCAAAACAAAAGAACCAAAACATTATCACCCCTCAAACCAGAAAAGTATCTACTCCATAATTAAATAACAAAGAATAAAAGAGAAAGATGAAGTTATAGTGGGAGGGGGAATCTTCTCTGTCGATTTGCTCCTGCGCGATCTATGAATCTGTCAGTCTCCTGCTCCTGTGCGTTTCTGCCCTAGCCGTTCTCTCCCATTTTATTTAATTTTTGCCCTAATTATTTTGTAGATGGGCTTTTGGACCTTTAATTAATTTCTCATATCAAGAGGGTGTAGTTAGTCATGGTCATGACTAACTAGGTTGTGCAAATCTAAATTTTTCTTCCATTTCTCTGCCAATTATGCCAAATTTGATATTTGCCCTCTGCACACAGCAAATAAACAATTTGTATATAAATTAGGTATAGTCCAATCAAAATCACTCAAATATCACATATGATATGAATATAAAACGCATGCGATTTCTAACTATCAATTCTCCCCACACCTAGATCATGCTTGCCCTCAAGCATAAATTCAAAATAAGCCAAAGAAATCGCAGGCAACTCGATATGACAAGAGGATCCAACACAACCAATTCAATCCGAATTTTAACACATCAAGCCAAGTCAACCTCACAAGACAAAGTGTATTCGCACATGCTCTCTGAAGAAATTAAGTGTATAATTTGCTCAACACTTAGGTAGTGCAACAAAAGATTATTCTACAGGCTTGAGTAAAAAATCAAATCCCCCTTGCTTAAAATATTCAAATCCAGCATAAAGAATCAAGGGAACCTTCAACAAGGGTTGTAACGGGGCTTATGGTCAGGGTAGGAAAAAGGATATACAAGGGCTAAAATATGTCAGAAAAGAATACAATAAGAACACGATGCTAGCATATGAAAAACAAATCGGCATAAACAATGAAATCCTTACTCTATTCACTACCCAAACTTTAATAATGAAATTAAATGAAAATACTTTATTAAGATAATTATTTATTTATTTATTTTTGTATTATTTTTTTCTTTCTCTCTTTTTTTTTTCTTTTTTTTTATATATATATTTTTTTATTTATTGTTTTTTTTTTTTTTTTTTTGGCTTTTGCCTTTATATATGTATATATATATATATACCTACACTACCCACAGTTATTTCTTCATACTATGACTTATTCGTATCCAAAGTTCGTTTCTAACTAGTGCCGAAGAAATGAAGTGCATCACAACATGGACTTAAAGTAATTCATTCTAACATAGGGTTCAAATCAGAGAAGGCTTAATCAAAAGAAGGGTATGAGGCTAAAAGACAGGTTATTATAAAAGAAAAATAGGCTAAGAAGGCTCAAATTGGCTAAATAGGGGAATATATTGTGCTGGGTAATAAAGAAAAGCTTAATGGGTTACCTAATGCCCTTATCATTTTCAAAACGCAAGACTCGATAGTTGCAAGGTCAACATGCATAATCACTCAAGTTCTAGGTCATCTAATTGAGCACTACATATCACACATGAAAGAAATTTCCAAAAGCTTGAATATATGCAATTTATTTTCTAATGTGACTTTTGGAACATAGGCTCAAACTCTCACATGGTTCAAACGTCGACTTGACTCAACATATCACCAATCAAATGTCATTAGTCATGCCAAACTAACCTATCACACAAATCACCTTTGACTCACTTCAGACAAATCTAAAAAACATGCAAAATGACAGCAAATCAGGCATAAAAGGTAGCACGAAAATGAAAATTTTGCCCAAAAATTTGCATAACTCTCCCCACACCTAAAGTATGTATTGTCCTCAATGTAAAGAAAGCAATAAAAGAAGAGATGAACTTCCCTGGAGTCCATAGGGGGTATAGTAGATGGGAGCTTTGTTAACACCTCTTCATTTGATCGTGATTTTTAGGGAGGCTTGAAGTTCTCTTGAGTCCTGCGAAAACAACTAACCAACGCAAGCCATTTAAGAGGAGCGGATGTGGTGATCGGCGATGATTGAGCAGGGGAGGAAGAAGTCGACGGCGCCGGAGGTTGGAGGCGGCGACTAAACCAAACAAAACTATCAAAAGTGTTATTAGCAATTAAACAATAAAAATAAACAAAATTAAAGAAAACAATTAAATGATTTTGGGTTGTCTCCCACAAAGCGCTTTTCTTTATAGTCTTTGAGCTAGACTTCGTCGCGTCTCAGTTCTGAACATCGAAAACGGCAACGGGTGCCGACTTTATAGGATCAAGTGAGGGTCCCTTGTGGTATAATTTAAAGCGATGTCTATTGGCCACACACTTTTTCTTCGGCTTAAAATTTTGATTCTCCTTATGACATTTTTTCGCTACCAGCAATGGTGATCCCTTGGGAATCCATCTCCACTTTTCGACAATATTTTTTATTTTCTTACTCTCTCCAGTTGGTCTTTTTTCTAACTGTTTTGTCAACACAGTTCTTCGTTTATTCTCATTACCAACTTCACAAGTTTCCTGCAACACAGAATTAATAACATTAATTGCATATAACGATTCAGATTCAACAGGACATTTGACGGGATTAAAAATATTGAAATAAAATTCTTCTCCATCAAACTCCAAGCTGAGTGTGCCCTTTTTAACATCTATCTTTGTTCCTGCAGTGCACATAAAAGGTCTTCCTAACAAAAGAGGCAGTGGATTAAAACAATCTGCATCGTGCATATCAAGAATATAAAAATCAACAGGAAAAATTAATTCATTCACTTGAACTAATACATCTTCTATCATACCATCGGGATAAGCATGGGTTCGATCAGCAAGTTGAATAATAATTCCTGTTTCTTTTAGAGGCCCTAGATTTAAAGAGTCGTATATTGATTGAGGCATGACATTAATAGCAGCTCCTAGATCTAGCATAGCCTTAGTTATCTCAGTTTTTCTAATCTTACAAGGGATAGAAAACATACCTGGATCACCTGTTTTAGGTGGTACCTTTCTTTTTATAACAGCAGAAACGTTCTCACCCGCTATAATATGCTCGTCCCCTCGCAATTTTCTTTTGTTGGTGCACAGTTCTTTCAAAAACTTCGCGTACTTGGGGATTTGGTTTATAGCTTCCAGGAGCGGGATATTAAGTTCCACCTTCTTGAATATTTCCATCATCTCTTTTCGTTTGTTTGCCATTTGTGGTTTCTTCAACCTGTCAGGAAAAGGAGCTGATTTAGTTTCAGTAGGAGGAACAGAGTCAGGAAGTAGCTTTTCGTGAAGTTCCGTTTTTTTTTCAATCTTCATCTTAATCTGATCCTCATTTTGTTCCTTTGAGATATGAGGTGGATCTTCCAATTCATTTCCGCTACGAAGAGTTATAGCACTCGTATTCTTTGGATTAGGCCGGGAAGAACATTCAATCTTCGTATCACTGCAGATAGTGATGGCGCTGACATTTGCTGGATTTGGCTCAGGCTGAGCAAGCCACTTTCCTCTTTCACGTAGTTGTCTCACCTCCTCCGACACTTGATTGATCTGACCTTGTAATTTTTCGACAGTTGACTTCATCTCTTGCTGGAATTGCAGGGTACTAGTAACCATAGACTTCACCAAGTCTTCCAAAGATGGACTGGAGTTGCTTGTGGGTGCTTGGGGCGGTTGTTTCTCATAGAAACGAGGTTGTTGCATCTGTTGCATAGCTCTGAATGGTTGATGAGCATTACCCTGTTGTGCGTTTCCATAACGCAGGTTCGGATGATCTCTTCAGCCTGGATTGTAAGTGTTGGAGTATGGATTGTATGCTGGAGGTCTATTCATACCGTAGTTTGTAGTGTTCACATCCACTGCACATTCTTCTTGGAGGGTCGGACATGCATCTGTAAAGTGTCCTTGACGAAGACGTCCAATCTTCAAGCATTCAAATGCCCGTGGGACCCATTACTCGAAGCCGAGCTCGTCAATTTCAAAAATCCGTCACTGCATTGATCAGACGATTTTTCATGAAGAATCAATTTAAAGATGATGCTTGGAGACCACTTAGCCCTCACCTGATGCTCCTTCAATGGGACCCGCAAGAATCTCAATTGAAAGATCAAGAGAATTGCTAATCATGGAAGGTTATCAAGGGAATCATCAGTTATGGAGAGAATCACTAATCATGGAAGTATATCAAGGGAATCCTCACTTATGGAGAGAATCACTAATCATTGAAGTATATCAAGGGAATCATCACTTATGGAGAGAATCACTAATCATGGAAGTATATCAAGGGAATCATCACTTATTTCCTTTTATTATAAGTTTCCATATAGTATAATTCCATATCTAAAACTTCCGTAATTATTTATTTCTTTATAGTTAGACTTACCTTTTGGTTGTTTCCTTTATTATTTGTTGCCTTTTATTTTCCTCAATGACCTCTATATAAGGTCCTTGCCTATCATTGTAATACGAACCTTTTTTACATCTTGAATTGAATTTCACTTTTATATTTTCTAGTGTTAGAGAGTGATTTCCTCGCATTTAGAATCTCAAATCGGGTCTTTGAAGTGATTTCATCGGTTCGTGGCTTCCAATCCTTTGCAGTGGGATTTAGCCTATTGTTTGTGTTTTACCTGTGGATTGATTTCAGGTCCGAGACTTATTCTCGTGGTTGGTTATCATCCATACTAATTCACATTCTCTGCACTATCTTTCTTCTTCCTTCTCTTTTCTTTTATACATATTCTTAATCCATTTGTTCTATTGAACTTTGTGGGTAAGAAAATTATATTGGTTATAATTATACGCGGCCGGGCCGTGTCAATCCTGTACTCGTGCATATTCCGCACGCCTTGACCTGAACACTCGGGTTGGATTTTTCCACGACCATCTTGCGAACGAAGCTCGTCAACTCAGAAAGTTGTTGCTGCATCGATTGGATGGCATGGTCGTTGCTGTTTCTGCTCATATGTCCAACATCTCTTGAACCAAATTGTTGCGTGTTTTCAGCCATCCTCGCAATAAGATCCCAAGCTTGTGCCGGCGTCTTATTTACTAAAGCTCCACCACTTGCAGCATCGATAATGTTTCTGTCCATCAACGAAAAACCATCATAAAAGTATTGAATCAATAATTGATGGAGAATTTGATGTTGTGGACATTTAATGATAAGCTTATTGAATCGCTCCCAATATTCATGGAGCGTTTCACCTGATTGTTGCTTGATGCCACATATCTTCTTCCTCAGGATCGCAGCTCTGGAAGCTGGAAAGTACTTCTTCAAAAATTTCTTTTTCATGTCGTTCCACGTGTCGATGCTTCCGGGTGGGAGATAGTAGAGCCAATCCTTTGCAGCATCTTTGAGTGAGAATGGGAAGGCTCTGAGTTTGATCTGTTCGTCAGTAACACCTGGTCGTTTCATGCTGGAGCACACCACGTCGAACTCTTGCAAGTGTTTGTGAGGTTCTTCACCTGTAAGTCCATGAAAAGAAGGCAGTAAATGGATTGAGCCCGATTTCAGTTCAAAAGCAATAGTACCTGTTTGTGAGCGAATACAATTACGGATATCCTACCTGAATTGACTTTAGATTATCAGACTAATTTAAATATCGGTACCAAAATATTCAATCAATCTAACAATCACAAATGCTATTCTCAGAATTAGACAAATATTGATAATCAAAAAGAACTTTTATAAAGAAAATCAAGAATCTTCAAAACAAAAGAACCAAAACATTATCACCCCTCAAACCAGAAAAGTATCTACTCCATAATCAAATAACAAAGAATAAAAGAGAAAGATGAAGTCATAGTGGGAGAGGGAATCTTCTCTGTCGATTTGCTCCTACGCGATCTATGAATCTGTCAGTCTCCTGCTCCTGTGCATTTCTGCCCTAGCCGTTCTCTCCCATTTTATTTAATTTTTGCCCTAATTATTTTGTAGATGGGCTTTTGGGCCTTTAATTAATTTCTCATATCAAGAGGGTGTAGTTAGTCATGGGTCATGACTAACTAGGTTGTGCAAATCTGAATTTTTCTTCCATTTTTCTGCCAATTATGCCAAATTTGATATTTGCCCTCTGCACACAGCAAATAAACAATTTGCATATAAATTAGGTAGAATCCAATCAAAATCACTCAAATATCGCATATAATATGAATATAAAACGCATGCGATTTTCAACTATCATCATATAAGATGGATGTCTTAAATAAATGCAATAACATCTACTCTCTTCCGATATGGCATCTAGAATTTATATCGCTGGGATGCTACGGATGAGGGGAACATTCAGACCTTGTTCAAGAGAAAAGGGTCTCAAATTTTATCGCGGGCTTTGAGGGATGTCCGAAAGAAATTAAAGATGCCACAATGGGTCAAGCCAGAGTTGCACGCCCACATGATTATCAAGTTTTCAAGCCCGGAGTATCTAAAAATTCGGGAGCGCAACAAGGAAAACAAGAACAAAAATAAGGATGCATTGCTGAATAAGTATAGAGGCGGAGCGTGGTCGATGGATCTTGTACAAAAAAATGGTGAGAACATGTACATTTAAATATAAAGGTTTTCGATCGAGCTTAATTTTTATGGTAATAACCTCATTTGTTGTTGTTTATTGTTTAACATAACGTTTGCATGGTTGTTTAATAGGAAGAGAATTTGGGTTGACCTCCCTCTGCAATTGAACTCCATGACTGTTGTTGGAAATAGAATGATGGAACGTATCCTTCTACGAAGTTAGCCGAGATAGCGGTATACTATAGTTTATTTATGTGCACAATATGTTTTACATGAAAAATGAATCTCATATGAAAAATTACTCGAATTTTTTGGAAATACATGTGTGTGATATTACTTGCAAAATGTTAAGTTATTGTTGATACATCACTTCCTCATGTAATCTCTAATTGGAAATATAGGAGAGTCTGAAGAAATACTGTGAAGATTACGGCACACAAACTACTTCTACAGCGAGAAATGAGCTTATCAAATCTTATGGGGGCTACGACAAGAAAGGTCGAGGGGCAGGGCTCGGCTCACAAGGGAGCACCGCAAGAGTAGTATTACGTGGATGTAGTTCACGTGCCGTCCATAACACCCCACAAGCTCACAACTGCCTTTCGGAAACAGAGATAAAAGCTCAACAGGAAACTTTGAGACAGACCCTAGCTGTTCTTCGGCATCAGGAAGAGATGATGATACAGGTAATACATGGTTTGTTAAATTATTGAACGTTTAACATCTCGCTATATTTTTATTTTGATTATTTCAACCATGTATCATTTATTATGTTAGTGAGCACAAAATCAATTTTGTGTAGAAATAATTTGTTGCGATACTTTGTTCGACTAATAAAAACAATCAAAGCCATGTAAAAAGAATTACACAATTATCTCTTCTATTTGTTATATAGTTACTTTGAAAGATAATATTGTTGTAATACATGACGATATATTTGTGATAGGTGCAACGGAGTATTGCGATGATATTGGAGGCTTTTGTCTCGGGAAAAGCCCCCAACACCGAGCTTTTATTTCCACTTCTTGCCAGCCAGGGCCTTCTCCAAAGCCCATTTATGGCAACAAATGAAAATGATGTGGTTTAAGTGATCAACGGGGATAACGGTGTAGACGACGGATCCGAGAATGACGACGATGATAGTATGGACTTGGATGAAACAATACCTCCGACTGAATATCAATGACGTCTGTAAGTAAAATCTAAAAACTCTAACTTTCCTACCGATCGATATTTTTTGCATTCTGAACTGGTGGCCTAGATATTGTGCATTCTAAATTGGTGGCTGTGACTACTCTTATTTTGTTATATTATGAAAGTCTTCTATTCGATGTGCCCTTACATTTTGTCGGAGGCTAATCGATTGTATAGTGTACAATTGAATGCGAATTTCGATGAAAACGTATATTTTGTAGCATTTTGTTGAAAGTGTTCGTGATGTCTATGATTTTGGTGGATTAATAATTTCCTTTATATTTATAATTTATTTTTTATATTAAATATTTAGTCATTGTTATAACTCCCAGTAAAAATAATTATATTTTTTTATAACAAATATAAAAATTGAGAGAAAAACAAAAAAACTTTTAAAAGCTATTCAAGCTTCGAAGCATTACTACCACTGAATGGCCTAAGATTTTCCCTTTTCGAGAGCATTGGAAATAACTTCGGAAATATCCGAGGCCATGTGATGCATTGGTGAGTCGAATAGCCTCAGAATAATCCGAGGCCATGTAAAGTGCATTGGCGCGTGAGTTGAATAGTCTCGGAAAGTTCCGAGGCTATTCAACTCACGCGCCGGGCAGTGCAGTGCAACAATAGTTTCGGAAATTTTGAAGCTTTTGAAATTAACCTCGGAATTTACGAACCAAAAAAAATGGCAACGGCCTTTTCTCTACGGGGACAGTTCGGAGACAAAATCCGAGGGAAAAATTAATTTGCCTCGGAACTCTATTAAATTCCGAAGTAAATTTTCCGAAGCTTTTGTAACAATTTATGGTAGTACTATTTTATGATTTGTTAGCTTATATGTTGTATTTATATTACTTACCTCATTCATTCTATTTGAAAGGAGTTTTTGGAATTTTGTAGTAAGTTAAAATATTAAAAAATAATAGTATTTTATTAATTTAGTGAAAATCTTTAAGAGATTTTGATATTTTTACCCATTGACTCTATATATAAAGTAAATGTATGTGTAATGATATATTTGTAATTTAAATAAAAGTTAAAGATATTTTGATATTAGATTATGATTACTTTTACTTAAAAAAAATAAAAAAATTAAAGCTATACTTTGAGTTTGATTAACAAAAATGGTAAAGAAAATATTTTGAATTAAAACGGAAAAATATAATAATATAATAATATGAATTATTTGTTGTTATGTAATATTGTAATTACTTGGATGTATTTTGTGTGCTTTCATTATTCTGAAAATATTGACGTGCTTAAATTTCAATTACATTAATTATGGTTGCAAAATTACAAGGCAATTATGAAGTTGAAATTACGTAGATCATTGCATTATGCCTAATTGCATCACTGCTGCCATAGACGGTTTTTGTATTTACGAATTTGGGTTATAATTGAAATTACAAATTTATCCTCAATTTAATCTATATATTAGTGCTAATGATCTATCGGTAAATTAAAATAAGCACCATACAGCAAAACACACCCTAATTATTTATCGGACTAGGTTATTTAATTAACTTTTTTCTATTTAGAATTTCTTATAGTTCCAATGAGATTTCCCGAAAATGTTCAAAAAATTGTGCAATTTGAAGAAGAATGTATGGAAAAGAAAAGAAATTTAAGTTAAGTTTGACCTGTAGTTGTTATTAAAAAAAAACTAAATACAATAATAAGAAGAATGGATGCAATTAAATTGTCACATAAATAGCACATTTCCAAACAAGTCAAAATACCAAAAGGAAGGCTATTTATTTACGCAGAATTTAAAGCTCAGAAATAAATACTTACCACCAGCACAGCACAGCACAGCACAGCACTATAAATTGTCGTTCGAAGCTCTGCGCACACAGTACTACTGGCAGTGGTCCCTTCGTTGTCTTTTACGGTCTAATCCTCTATTCCACGTGGCGACACTTGATTGGCGGCTCTTGCAGTTATTGACACCCAGCGCAGCGGTGGAATCTGCTCTGTCTCTCTCCGTGTTGAGGTGAGGTTAGTTGCTTCTCATTTATTTGCCTTTCGATTTCTGCTTCTTCCCCGATCTCGAATCCAAATCCAGCTCTTTTTCAAGATTTCGTGGCTGGCTGGCTGGATTGATTGTTGGGGGCTGTGTGGCTTAAATTTGATCTATCGATCGAGATCGATTTGTCTGTCCATGGCAGGCGAAGCGGATCTGAATTTAATTAGGGTTTTTAATTGAAGAAGTTCTTTCTTCTCCTCAAATGCTCCTTGTTTGTGTATTCGGAATTTTGTGGCTTCAATTGGCGGTTTCGAGTTCGGGCAATGGAGATTTATCGGCTAGGGAGCTTGATTCGCTGCTGCAAGAGTATGCTTTCGAGGCGCTTGTCAGACCAAAGACGGGCATTGTCTATGACGGTGAAGTTCCGGCTAATTTGACGGGGATTAAAGTGGCAGCGCTGCGGCTGAGGAGCGGCAGCCTGCGGCGGAGAGGTGTGGTCAGCGGTTACAAGGAGTACCGGCTTCCGATTGGTGTAGTGGAGCAGCCGTACGTGACTAGAGTAGTTCTGGTGTACCACAATTTGGGGGATTTGTCGTCTATGTACTATCCTCTGCCGGGATATACTTTTTTGGCGCCGGTTTTAGGGTTGCTCGCCTATGATGCCTCCGATTTGTCCGCCAGGAACCTATCGGAGCTTGATATCCGCGCCGCCGGCGATCCTATCGCCGTCGTGTTTCCCGCCGTCCGATCGGACGGCTACGCGTCGCCCCCGATGTGCGTCCAGTTCGGATTAGACGGTTCCGTAGGGTTCGAGAATGTCGTCAATGGCAGCACTTGCTTAACTACCAGTCAAGGCCATATTTCAATTGTTGTCGCGTCGCCGCCTTCTCCGGCGCCTGCTCCGGCTCCTGGCGGTGGAGGTGGAACCGCGGCCGGAAGCGGCGGGGGAAAGACGAGTAGTAAGAAAGTTTGGATTATCGCCGGTTCGATCGTGGGCGGCGGGGCGTTGTTGGTTGCTCTGTCGGTTCTATTCTTATCCTTGCGGCAATGTAGCCGCCGGAAGAAGATCCGGCGGATGGAAATAGCGTCGGAGGCCGGAATTCCTCTTCCGATGACTCCAGTGGGGTCGACGAAGGCGCCGGTGGCGTCGGAGACGCGGACGCGGCCGTCGTTGGAGAACGAATTTGTGCCCTAGCCTTTCTTTGATTGGGAAAAAATCGAAGAAAAACCAACATTTTTCTTGATAAATTTTTTTCCATTCAATTTAATTTGTTCTTGGAAAACAATATAAAAAAATATATTATTTAGTGAGAAATATGATTCCATTGATCCATTACCATCGTATCCTTTTCACTTCATTTATCTGTCATCAAAATTCAAATCTCACTCCTCGGATTCTATCTACAATCAATTTTATTGCAAATTAAATTAATTAAAACACACGAGTGTTTTGATTGTGATTTCAACACTATTTTTCTAAATTATTATTATTGTTATTTTGTCTATAATATTCAAATTATATATATTTAATATTCCGTCTAAAGTATGCTTGTTTTATTAAGAATATTCTTTCGATCATCTGTATAAAAACAAACATTTCGGCACAACCTTAAAGAAAGGAGTTTGTTTGATTGTGTTTAGATTATTTTGAAATAAAAATATTTTGAAATTCAATTTTTTTTTTAATATTTTTATTTTCATTTGATACTTCTTTTGTTCTAGTTGAAGATATTATTTTTATTATTTTGATATGTTCTTGTAAAAAAATGTCACTTTATTTTGTCCACTTTTTCTCTTTTTGTCTGTATTACATAATTTGTCATTTTTTTTAAAATAGTATAATTATACACTTTAATCACATTTTAAAATTCATAATTTATAATTTTTTATTTTAATTAAATTATTTAGTAATTTTAATCTTAACCTATAATTATTTTTTATTAAATCATAATTATTTATTAATTATCCAATAACTAAAAAATGAGACAAATTAGCTGAGGCAGAGGAAGTATTTTATTTTCCCTTTTAGTCAAAGTAATTACATATCGATACTAAAATATCTTTTAATTTTATATAAATTATAAATATATTATTATACATACAATTAATTTATACATAAAGTACAATTGAAAAAATGTTGAAATTATGTTATATATTTTCACTAATCAACAATATATCGTTATTTCTTAATTTATTGTAAAAGTTCGAAAGACCATTTGATTCTGACGAAACAAGTATAATTGGGTATTTTATAACTGAAGAAAGTTTTATACTTTCTTTATCTTACCTAAAATGTTCACTTATTTTTATTTCGATTCGATTCACATAAATTGTTCATTTAATAATATATTAATTATTGTCTAGAACCTTTTATCCGACCCGGAGAGAGCATATATATTATTCCAAGCTCAGCAAACCCTAAATAATTTTCAACATAATAATCTTGGGTAGAAAAGGTGTTAATGTTTTAATAATAATAAATGGATTGTTTTATATATAAAAATAAATACTTTATATTTTGATAGCTGAAAATGTCATAATATATATATATATATATATATTTTAAGAGGAGAGGGAGAGATTATTTAAAATGGAAGATAGAAAAATAGTATTTGTTTTGTAAAATTATTGAAAATTAAATTTTTTGGTGTGAAGTATAAGAAATTGTGTAAAAAATATAAAAATAATAAATGGATATAGTGTATTAATTTTTTTTAAAAATATATATATAAAAAATAAAAATAAAAAGAACAAAGCCTGTATATTAATTACAGAAAAACAACAAATATTTTTTGGCATATAAAAAAATACTCCCTCAGTTTTATTGACACATTTTTTACTTGTATTGTTCCATAACAATTAACTTTTTTAAATTTTTGGTGAAACTTACTAAATTAAAAAATATTTAATAAATATAAATCAACTTAATTAACTGCATAACATGTAACATCATACACATGACAACTCACTCAATTTTTTTTATTTATATCATTCTCCTAAAAAAAAAAAAAAACAAATATTTTATTTACATTTAAAACTTTACATTTTTTATACAATTATTTTATGTTAATTATAAATAAATAAATATATTTTTTATTTACTTGTATTATAGACATTTTTATTCTCTACAAAATTATATTCATATTACATATTTTTTATTGCGATATAATTGTTAAATTATTTAAATACATATTCTAATTATTTTAATCATATATTAAATTTATTTTAAAATGATCAATATAATGAATTATATAAAAAATAATAAAATAATATTATAACTCATTATTGTTGACTAATTAAATATCATTATCTTAAATATCGTATCACTAAGAAAATAAGTTAATTATATAGAAACAAAAAAAATATAAATAATTTTGGAAAGGGATTTATTTTATTTAAAAATAAATAATTTAATAAATTAAATACAAAATAAAGTAAAAACACCTCCTAAGACTATCTCCAACCCATCATTCTATTTTTATATTTTTGCAGAATTTTCTAAGTCATTCATCTTCAACCATACCAAATTATAAAAACTCATTTCCAACAGCACCCTCTAATTTTGTAGATTAATAAATATTTTATTTCATATATTATTTTTTTGTAAAATTTTAGATTTATAAATAACATTAAATATTTAATTATTTTTATATATTTAATTTAAAAAAATATTTTAAATAATATATCAATAATTAAATTTATAATTTTCCTTATTATTTGATCATGCAAAGTAATAAATATTTATTAAATTAAATAAAATAAAATTTTAATATCATTAAATAATATATATGTAAAATTTAAATAAAAAAATATTATATAATATCATTTAATTATATATAATAAATACAATAAAATTAATATTCATTATAAAATTCAAATTTAAATATACAATTCTAATTTATTGTATAAATAATAAAATAAAAATTACAAAAATAAAAATCAGAAATTTAAAGAAAATTTTAATTAATTTTTAATTTAAAATAAAATAAAAAATAGAAAAAAAGTCACCTTATCAATATAGAGTGTGCCATCTTGTGCGAGAGTGAATATGCTTCATCCTCTCAACTAGTCACTGTCTAACCCTAATTGATTAGTTAGTCGAGTAAAATATTAAATATAGATGGATTTGAGTGTATTCTTTTTATTAAAAATTAAACACATTTTTTCAAAAAATTTATATATTATACTCACCGTGCTATTTTAATTGTCTCATTTTTCTATTTCGTATATCCCATTTTAATGGACACGTTTATATTTTTTTATAAAATTTATTAAATTTAAATATACTTAATAAATATAAATTAATTTAATTAACTTCATATTATATAATATTATACATTATATATGACACATTCAAAACCCTTTTATTTTTATCTCTATTCTCAATAAACAAATATAAATATTTAGCTTTAAAACTCTTTCTTTTTTATAAGATTTATTTATCTTAAAGTATAAATAAATAAATATATATTTTTATTTATTTTAATTATTTTAAAATTTATTCTCTACAAAATGATATTTATATTGTAAATATTTTTATTAAGATATAATATTTAAAATTTTAAACACATATTTCAAATTTATATTAATTATATATTAATTTTTATTTAAAATTACAATGATACTACTGTCATAAAAATAACAAAAATTCAATATTATTACCTAATTAAACCATATTATTTTAAATACCGTGCCACAATCAAAATAAGCCAAGGGTCTGTTTGGTTCAAATGAGGGAAGGGGATGAGAGAGAAAAGAATATTAAAATTGTAATAGCATGTTTGGTTCATATGAAAGGAAAGAGAGGCTATGGGAGAGAAAATAATATTTTTGTGTTTGGTTGGACAGGGGAGAGAAAAGAAAATAGAATAATTTTACTATTTTATCCCTATATTATATAAATAAAGAAAAATAAAAGTATTTAAATAAAATTTGATTAATTTATTCATAAAGCATGACATAAAATTTCTTTGTCTTATATAATAAAACAAAAACTATATTATAAAGCATCGGAAGAACCAAACACCATATACATATATACATAATAACCGATATGCATATTATTCATCTAAATAACGATCACGATCGTAATCTAACCACATTTGGTTAGCTGTAACATCTCTTACAAGCGCACCCTGAAACAAAGAAAAAAAGTTGATAGAAAATATATATATGACGATACGTTTTTTCTTTTTTTATTAAAACAACACTTCGTAATAATATAATTAAATAGAAAAATTCTATAATACAACATCGGATATGAAAAAAATACATTAAAAAAGATACAAATCAATGTATGTGAAACTAAAATGATAACAAATGTTCAACGTACCTTTACATTTTGTGTATTTGATTCAAAAAGAAATGTGACAATTCCAAGCAATTTCTTAATTTCACAAAATAATAATAAAAAAAAAAAAAAAGGAATGAGAGAATAGAATACGTACCTGAAACGGATTGAGAGATTGAATGATAATTTACTTAATCATACATCATATATTTATTAACATCACAAATATAGATAAACCATAATTTACTTATAAATAGTAACAATATAACAGAAAATCATATATAAATTAAGTATATAATAAAGACCAAATCTTCATATAAAATTCAAATATACTTATATAAATTAAATTAATTATTAAAATAAATCAAATTATTTAAAAAGAATTAATTAAAATATATACTTAATTATAAAATAAATTCGATTAAATTTATTTTAAAGTATTTTAAAATACATTTGAATTAAATTAATGTGATTTGTTTTAAATAACCTAAGTATTTATTAAAATCAAAATAATTTTATATACAAGTAAAATAATAGATATGATAAAATTTATATAATGTTATAAAAATTTAATAAAATGTTAAAAAGAGTATACTAGGCAAAAATTGTTTAATAAAATCTCTCCCTTCCAAATTCCCCCAAATCGGAGGTGAATAAAAATCCAAACAAATTAAATTCCCACCCCCCCCCCCTTCACTTTCCCTCCACTCTCAAAAAACTTGAACTAAACACAAAAATTTTTAGAATTCCATCGTTTCCCCTTCCCTCCCCTCCTAAACGCTCGAACCAAATAGACCCTAAGACTGTTTGGTTCAGGGATTTAATGGAATTCCATAAAATCCCATGAAATTCTTATTTGATTAAAAAAAAATGTAATTTAAAATGATGAGATTTAAAAAATGGGTCCAAAATTTTAAAAAATAAGGGATTTTTTTAATAGAGATATCTTGTTACTTTTGAATCTCATTTCTGAAATTTTAATTTTAATTTTTATATCACCTTATAAAAGAAATAATATTATATTTATATAAAATAAAAATTAA